ACAATTATTTATTGTATTAATTTACATATTTGTATCTGTAAAAAAATAGAATTTTCCTGAAATGAAAAATATTTGCACAATTTTAAGGCTAAAAGTGAAAACAGTGAGAATAAAAGTTTTTAAAATCTATTCCGGTGCTTTAAGTTTTTATGACTCCATATAATTCACGCATTATTTTTAAGCATGGAAGCATTTGCAAATACCGGAAAAGGTACAAATATTTAAAGAATTAAATTTGTTCCAGTAGTTCCGCGTCGAGGTCGTAAATCTGCAAGGCGAATAAAACTTGGCGTGAACTTACTTAAAGTCCAAACGCCAGAAAGTTTGCATGCACCTCTAGTGTCGAGGGTTCCGCACTAAATTTGCAGCCGATATCGCGTTATTACTCGGAAATATAAGCAAGTTTATGACGTTGTTTAGCAGTTTCGAAAGAAGTTTTCAATAAAAATGTCAGGAAACTAGAAAATATGCACTGCATTCGCATTAAAGCGATATACTCTGGTACTCTGCTTGCCTTCGCTGAGGATAGTAAAATTGTTTTTAGTTTTGGGGCCACTTGGCGTATGCGCAACTTTCGCATTAAACGGATTAAAACGAATTGCGATAAAAATAAAAACTTCCTGATATCAACAAACAACTGCGCTGTGAACTTTAACTCAAGCGAGTGCTTTAGGGCTTAGAATTGCAGCAGGTATGCGTAAGTCAAAGCAATGTCTTCTCGCTGATTTTATGTTCAATAAATAAAAGTAATAAAATTAGAAATAAATATTGTACGTATAAAAACACACCGGCGGAATGAAATCATACTGAAGATATTATTCGATTGGATTGCCTTATGTTTAGATGCGTCTGTGCGCTTAAGCGAACATAATAATATTTATAAATATATCCGTTTTGGATAAGTTAATGGACTTCCTTGCTTAGAAATACGCACTGAGCAAAGTTTATAAAGTGTCTTTGCCCTAACGAAGTTCCTTGTTGCTTGTGCTTGCAAATGCAATGTTGATGACGTTGACAGCAATAGCAAGAGTAACAGCAATATACCATAGTAGCAACAATAGCAGCAATAGAAAACAACAATGGCAAAAGAAGCAACAATAATGACAAAGAAATGGTTAAAACTTTTTGACATTTAGCATAGCCTTGCTTAGACATTTTAAGGACGCACTAACTGTATGACTGTCCTTTCCAGCTGCAATTATATTTTATTGTGCAATAAGCAGAGCACAAATGGAAAAGCCAGAAATCCTATATGGATTATTAGGAAAACGTGAAATGAAATAATTGTGCTGCCTGTGCCTGTGTCTGTGCCTGTAGTGTGCAACTAAGCGCCTACTACAATCAGTAACTACCATAACTACCCCACTGGCTCATTCCACGGCTGCTCCTGCTTCATGTCTAAATAAATAAAGTTTCTGAAAAGTTTAAATTGTGTTGGAAGCCAGAATTCATGCCTGGTTTCCCATGCTGCTGCATAATGGCTACGTAGGAGCCGCTGTACACAGCAACTTTCCAAGCAAACCAATTCAAAGGGACAAAGTCGTTTTCTTGTATAATTATAATTGCATTATTTATTTATTATATGTATTTCATGCTGTCTTCACACCCGAAGCATAGCACACTATTATACACTCCTGCGTGCTCTGCCTCGCCACAGATTGCTATGGCTTCGAGTGGCATAAATTGACCGACGCTCCGCTCCAACTGCCGGACAAGCTTTGTGGGTATAATAAAAGGCTCATGGAGTTTATTATGCCTGCGTGTATAAATTTCACTTGACATAAACTTAAGTTAAAGTTAAATGACTGAAAAGGCGTTCTGTGAGAAGCTCCTTATTGTGCCTGTGCTGTGAAGTGGTTGTGGTAATAGCCATCGCTGCATGTGTGAGCGTTTCAGTGTGGGCACTTCGAAATAGTTTTTGACTTGTTATGAAACTATTTGAATTTTACATCAGTTTCCATATTTCGTTTAATATGCTTATTAAGCATTTGCACCGTTTAACTTACAATTAAAACAGGTGAAGAGTAAGTGGTTCAATATTAAATAATGATGACTTCTGCACCTTGCATCGTAAATGTGTGCTTCGGTGAACTTTAGTGCGGGCTCGTATTTATAAAAATATATTTTGACTTTAATATTATTTAAGAGTTCCTGTAGTTAAGAAAAATATATGCCATGCGTCTGATGTTATTCTATTCTTAAATTAATGAGTAGATATTTAATAAAATAGACTGAAAACAAAATTTTGAAATAAACCTGCCAGATGCAAACGATTATCAGAAGAATCAACACATTTTTTTAGTAAATTCAGTTACATATTTCTGG